CTGATGTGAAATTTGGTTTTAAAAACCAGTATTTTAACATGCAACCAAAAAATACCCTGCCACATTTCAAATGGAGCTTGTCTTCATCAATCAGTTAAACATAGGTTGTATTTAGCGGTGTCATGGTTTAACTCCAGCCAGCATCTAAGCACCACACAGCCACTGGCTCCTGAGCCCAGCCATGTGTTGCATCTTTTCCTTAATGACCTGAGCTGCCATGGGCCCATTGGGCTATAAAAAACCAACACAAGGGTAAAGAAAAATTTTGAATCCGGAACCTTCGTGTATTTGACAGTTTTATGCTTATTGTCAACCTTTATTTGTTCTTTAATGACTCCCTGTGTTATTACATGTTGCTCATCTTCCCGTAAGGGAAAAACCAGAAGCAATTATAACTTAATAACATTCTCTATGCTGAGAATGTGTGGTGACAGATAATGAAGTCCAATATACCTTTCTGATTACAAGTTGCTCTTTAGGTGTAGGACAAAGAACTACAAGATGGCAATGTCAAAGCAAGGAACACTTACACAATGAAATATTAATGAAAACACATTGCACTTACATCTCGATGACATCTAAATGGGGATCAGTTATCAGATCTTGAGTGTTTGCAACAAATTTCTACTCTGTAAAAAGAATAGAAAAGTCCAATGAACTTTTAAAATGTCAGCCAGCAGGGCTTTCAAATGCATAATTTACTGTTTTGTTGGCTTCCTCTGAATGGATAATAATGAACTCCTAGCTAAAAGCAAGCTCATAATGCTGAATCAAAAACATGAAGAACATCATGAAATGATAAATGTGGAGCTGTATGGTAATTTTCTTCTAAGTAGAAAACATAGTTGTAGTGTTAAGAATGTGAATGGAAATCCTGACATTTTGCTTGTGCAGAGCAAGGTTTTCATTGGGAAGAATCCATGCCACTACTAGTATTGTAGAAACACTAGTAAATATAGAAACACTACTACAGCACCTCTATATCACTACAGCCATGCAATAGCAGCGCTGCTGGAATTGCAGCTGAAGTTTGATGGACTTCCATGAGCAATATATTTTCAGTCTCTCTTGTTAGACTTACCTCTTTGAGACACTCTCATACTTATTTATTTAAACATATGAAAAATAGACTGTTATATTAATCAGAGGGCATAATGAAGTAATTTCTCATAGAGAAGTTTTAATCTTAATCAAAATTGACCTCTGTGATATATTTTTAAAAGGCATATATTATTGAATGGTATTAATAGAACTTTTAATGTTAACATATTTTATGCCAGGCAGAATTAGATTCTATTTTAAGCTAGTACTGTAGGTTGAATGACGATAAAAACTTCTCATTTCGTGGTTGGATTTTAATAGCATACAGGCTACATTTGAAAGGCTCTGTTCTGATAATCAGTGTTCTTCATGCTACCTGGCATGATGGTCTCCTCTTTATGGGACATGATCTCCCTTGCTGGGTGTATTATATTAAATCAGTAGGTGTGACTTGACCTGGGCGGACTAGTGAGTGGAACAAAACCTTTAAGTGTATCAGGTCATGCAGACTGTTAAATCTTTCATTTGGATAAATTTGTCTGAGGCTATAAAGTACCATTACATGGTCCCCTGTCATAGTGGATTCAGACTGCACACTAAAGCTACAATGGAAGTAACGCCTTTGCCCTGATGGGCGAGGTTGAGAGCACCCACACAGTCTTTGAACAACGCCTTCGGAAGGAATCCTTGATTTATAATGGAGTGCAGACATGGTTTCAGGATGTGGCTAAGGAATTGGTACTGTGAGCCTCTACAGAGTGTAAATTCAGTTAGAAGAGATTTAGGAATCATTTCTTCAAATGTTTATTTTGCATTTAAATGAGAAAAGTTCAGAAAAGATAAAGGTTTGTCACAGAAACATTTAGTAAATTGTGTTTATGGAGGATAAATCCAGAAAACTTAAAACTAATTGATAATTAGACCTTTTTTTACAGGTTTATATTAAAAAAAAATTCTTAAAGCTTAGAAATGTAGTCTTCTGTTAGAAAAAGGACCTGCCTTAATTAAAGCACTGTTATAACAATGATTTAATTGGATTTTTAGTCTGTTCACATTAAAATATTTGTCATAAGAATGAGCTACAATACTGTGGAATATTAATATGCACTATATTCTTATTCACACTATGCAGTCTCACAACAGACCTAATATCAGAAAAATAATGTTTGGTTATTTTTTTCCTAGTTTAGATGAATATTCTTGGAATAAGCATAAACTCCCTCCAACTTACTTAGCCTAGCTTTTTAATTACTCAAGTATCTAACAGTATGCTTGCATAATTCTTTACACACAGAAACTGTAAATTATTTTAAGCACATTTTTTGTGCTATCTTTCATATTATGTTGTATCCTAAATCCTCTGTTCAAGATAAGGCCATAGTAGAACAAGTCATTGCAAAATATGGAAAGTAAATATGGAATAACTTGTTAGAAAGTGATTTTAGTACCCTCTCTGGCTTCATTAACTGATTTTGACTTTCCATATTTCAACAGTTGCATGATATTTATTGCCAGCAGGTTGAGGGAGGTGGTGATCCTTCCGCTCTGCTCAGCACTGATGAGGCCACACCTGCAGTACCACGTCCAGTTACAGGCTCCCCAGTACAAGAGAGACATGACCATACTGGAGGGAGTCCTGTGAAGGGACACAAAGATGATGAAGAGACTGGAGTACCTCTCATATGAGGCAAAACTGAGAGAGTTGGGACTGTTCAATCTAGAGGAGAGAAGGCTTCAGGGAAATCTTGTCAATGTGTATAAATGGCTGAAAGGAGGATGCAAAGAGGATGGAGCCAGGCTCCTTTCAATGAACCCCAGTGACAGGACAAGAGGCCATGGGCACAAACTGAAACACAGGAGCTTCCATCAGATTATCAAGAAATACACTTTCACTATGAGGGTGACCAAGCACTGGCATAGATTGCTCAGAGAGGTTGTGAAGTCTTCATCCTTGGAGATACTAAAAAGCTGTCTGGACATGGTCCTGGACAGCAAGTTGTAGGTGGCCCTGGGCTGGACAAGATGACCTCCAGAGGTCCTTTCCACCTTCAACCTTTCTGTGATTCTGTGACACCCACTGTCCATCTGCAACACTGGGTCATGGGCTCCAGAGTGATCAATGTAAAAGCCATGGAGGGTAAAGGAGAGCAAGTTGTCTATGGGGTGGTTTCCAAGAGGAGTTGTGTTTTTGGAGAATAGCTCCCCTCCCTGACTACAGCACCCACTATGTTCTGACTCCCTTATGGCAGGGGTGCTAAGTTATATAGAACTGTTAAGCATATTTCAAGATAAATTTCTTAACTGCTGAGTTTGCTTTGTGAAACAATGAATTGTCAAATATATCTTTCTAATGTGGCATAAGTAAGTTTTCAGCAGGCACACAGATCTGCCTTTTGCCTGTTACTTATTTATTTCTAAGTGCAAAATGAATATTTTTGCAGGAATCATTAGGCAATTCATCCTGTTTCCCACCAAGATCCCCCCAGTTTGCCCACAGCTGGTAACTGTGAATGAACTGTGGGGATTCTTCTGAACTGTCTCATACACTTACACAGCCAGTCAATAGGGTGATGATGGCAATCAATAGAAAGTGTAACAAAATAATAAACTTGACTAAGAACAGCAGCAGCACACTTAGACCTTAGAATTTAACCTGTAAACTACATTTGCATTCGACAGGCGTTCTCTCCAATAAAGCTTACTCCAGAGGCTTTGGACCTGGATTTATATTGTTGCTTGGAAGAAATAAGTCATACATACAGCCAGTCTTGTGTAAAACATCTTAGTAGAATAGTAGTGCAAAACTAGCTACTCCTGCAGTTTCCTTTGTTGAGGTCTAAGCAGTGGCTCTAAAACCTGAGCATTTAATTCCCATTAATGAATTATCAGTGGCTAAGATATTTTGAGTTACAATGTACACAGCAACATAGATTAGATTGGTTTGTTGTATAACGTACATTAGATCAACCAGTCTTTTCCAAATGACTTACTAAAAATAATCCTTGCAGGTAGACACATGACTAAAACTGAAACAAAATCTGCATCTGTTTTTCATGCACTATAAACCCCTGGAAAACACAATTTACATTAGATAATGTAATAACTCTTAGCTACACTGGTATTCAGGTATCTTCCTACCAATAATGATATTTCATTGTAGTGCAGATATTTTAATGAAATTTATATGTTCCAAAGTATTGTGCAGCCTCCCAGCTTAGAGGGGAAGGACTGTTATGTGTTGCAGAGGTGCACAGAATATGACAGTAACTGCTTAATCTGCTTCAGAAAAGGTAATGATCAAGGAGAAGTCAGTCATTGTTTTATAGAGTAACATGTTATGCAATGCATTTCATAATGTTTAAGATGCTTTCTTCTGTTATTATATTGTACTCTTCATTTTTCTTCCCCTGACTTTCTGCTATCAGCAACATTATTGTCCCGTGAGCTTTGTGAATTGAGTACCTTAGTATAATGTACAAATTACTGCCCTTGAGCTGCAGATTGAATCTTACAGCAAATGTAAACAACTGAACGGGCAACATTGGTTTGAAAAAGCTTTGCTAGGATTCTAGCATCCTTTGTATCCATGGATAGCTCACATTAAAGAACACTTTAGGGACAATCACACAGCTGTGCTATAGGCAGAAAAAACTTTAAAAATAACAAGGCTATATCTGAACTTTAGCAAACAGGAACATTTACCAGCTTCTGACTAAAGGTTTCAGCTGCATCCCAACATTGCTCTGAGAGAAAACCCAAGTTTGGGCCAATTTTCAGACCTAAAGACAGTGCTTTTATATTGTTTGTTTGTCATGAACCACAGTCCCACTGGCTACAAGGAAAGGAGAGCTGGCTTCAGCCTGCCCCAGGGTGATTGGCAAACTTGTCACAGGTGGATCTAGAAGCTCTGTGCCTCTTTAAATACTGTTAGGGTGTGTGTGTGTGGACCTGCAATGGCTTGTGAAGATGAGGGGGTGGTGTGTAAAGGTCGGTGAAGCTATTATATTTCCATGAATTACATAGCTTTTCCTCACATATGTATGAATCTATGGTAAGTTCCCTTGTAGTCTTTGATGTCAGTAATTACTGACTATGGTGTGGTACAGCTGTATTTTTACTGCATCATTAGAGGAACTTCTTCCACTCTGGTGCTTCTAGAGGTGCCTCCAGACACATTGCAGGGTAAGTGCTACGCACTAGAAGATACTATGTGCAATTTCTTGGTCTTAGAGGGAAAATGTTTAGTGTACCTTGAACCTTTTAATTCTTATGTTAGTTGCAGGCAGCCTAACTCAGTATTTATGGATTTGGGGAGTCTTGTATATGTGTGAACGGAGAGCAGATGGTGTTAATGTAACTTATTGTCCATGCAGAATTCTCTGCTTCAGCAGTCTGTAGTGCCTTGGACCTTGCAGTGTAGGTGCATCTACATACCTGTGTATTAATATATATGCATACAGCAGGAATTATTTCTTTTATCATTGGAATGCTGGCAGCTCTCAGATGAGATGTGGTGACTCTTAGAGGTGGACAGAAATATTAAGTGGAAAGTGAAGAAAAAAGAGAACATGACAAGTTATGTGCAAAAGACTTTAGTTGGGATATATAGTAATGACCTATATTGGCTTTGGCTGAAATACATGAGGTTCATATACTAGTGCTGGCAGAAATGGCAGTGAATATTTAACACGAGTCACAACTTTTACACTTCCATGTTTTGTATTCAGTATATCTTTCTAAGTATGTTATTCATCGTACCAAAAGTGATATAAACAAATCCTGCTCTGCAGGCTGCTGTTTACTCTCCAAGTGGCATTTTAAGAGCAAACCTTCTTTTCTTGACGTACCACTGTGATAAAATACAGCTAATACTTCCACATCCAACAGGAAAGGAACATAGCAGTGGTAGGATTTATATAATAGAGAGCTATGTGGCATATGTAACTGGCTGGCATTTTTAGTGCCTTGCCGTGATTTGAGACAGCTGTGATAACACACATATAATATTCTTTGTCCTTGACTATTTAAAGATTTAATTTTTCATTTACTGTCTTTCTTTTGTAAACCCAGGGAAGTCTTAAAAGATGTATGTATAACAAATTATAGGCCATCTTTATGCAATCTCAAGGTAAGGAGGAAAAAATAAAAAACCTAGTGGAAAATACAAATGGGAATATATGCCTCAAATGGTATTTCATAATTGTAGAATCAGCTAGTTTGGAAAAGACCTTGAAGATTATCAAGTCCAACCATTACCTTCAGGATTGCCAAGACCACCATTCAGATATGTTTCTTTAAAAGCCATCAAAAATCTATGTGCTTAGCGTAAGACACTTCACTCATTTGGCTTTTTTTTTTTTTGTGGGTGTGTTCCTCTGAGACTGCTTTTCAAAGGCATTGAAGAGTGCTAATCTAATTTTTTTTGTTGCCCATCATCGAAATTGCTCTCCATTTATAATAGCATCAGATACCTTTAAAAAGTAAGTAGTGGTGTCACAGAAAACAAAGAGAAATTACGAGTCTTAGATCATTTTTGCAAAATGCAAAAGAATCTGGTTCTACTAAGGTGCAGTCTTTCTGCAGCTGCAGATCGCCTGGCTAATGTGCAGCTGGGGCAGACTGGTAATAATTCCCCTAAGATCACCTGGGTATTTGCAGAAAAAATAGCCCCACTCCTTGTGAGGAGTGAAGAGTATCAAAATCTGGGCAGACAAAAGTAAGTTTTGCTGGAAGGCACTATCTTGCTCCCCCGGCTTCCCCCAGTACTGCTGGCTTCAAACTTCAAACAAACAATAGACTTTTAATGCTGTACTTGCATTTTAAACAACTATGCTCTGAGCAGCGTGTGCTTACTGACCGTCAGAAATACATAGCTTAATGTCAGCAGGTGTCCTGTGTGTTTAAACAAAGCCAGGCTACCAAAGTCTGAATCAGCCATGAGATCTGAGAGCAGGACTATTTATTTCATTTTTTTGTATTACAAATACTTTTGAGGATTTCCTTCCAAGTTTTGATAAGTTATTACTTCTGTTAGTCAGAAGTCTTGAACATTGGGTTGTGAGCATTTAGTAACATTCCTTTGGCCTGATTGATTGTAAAGTGTTTGGTTTGTATTTCCTCACTTGGAAAACAAAAGGGAATCGAGTTGTTCTCTAGTTTGTTTGAAATAAGCAAGTGATATGGCACCCTGATTCTTAACTGATAGATACTCGGTTTCAGTATTTGCAGTTGGCACATTTTCAAGAACTCAATTCACAACCTCAGGGACTAAGTTTGAGGTGGAATGGTTTCCTTGCTTCCCTGTGGTAACAAAAGTAAGATCCGTAGACTTGTGTTTGTAGCCATTTTCTGTGCTTTTTTTTTTTTTGTGGTTTTACCAAAAAAGTTCTTAAATACCGTCTGTCAAACTCAGTTTAAATCCTGTTGTTAGGTAAGTCATCAAAGATGGTGTAGTCAGTATTGTAACAGTGGAAAGACTTTTAAGGAATCCATTTTTTTCCATTAATGATCATAATTTGTGAAAGCAGCATGTCAGTTAGGAAATGCCCATGCCATCATTCAGAGTTTCTGGCTGAAATCACACAGCTTTCTTGCTTTTCGTAGTATGAGCTGGAAATGACCTTTGAAAAGGAAACACCTCAACTTTTAAACTGTCCTGTGTTCTTTGGTAATTTTTAAGATCAGTTTTCCTATCTTTACCTGCCTGACCCAAAACAACAAACCAACCCCCAAACATGTGAGATAGAAAGGAATGAATGCAGCATAAGTAATTCTTATCATTAAAGATAACGTTTAGTTGAAGACATGGGAAATCATAATAAAAGTATGTTTATGTTTACAGTTCTTGCCCAGATACAGCCTGCTTCAGCAATCAAACTTTTTCATGTTGGACAAGCTATTTTAGGAGATAAGAATGAATATGAGTTTTTTCTGTTGACAGAAATTACAATTAAGTATTTAAATTATTTTCCCACACAGTGTTGCCCTAGAGCAGTTACCTGATCTCTCTTGAAACAGTTCTTTTCCTTTCTTCTCCCCCCCGACTAGGTTTTTAAAGGTAGAAAAGCTTTTGAAATCTGGAGTTTTCATTTCTTGCTTTTTTTCTTTTTTATTCTTTTTTTCCTCCCAGAGCTGTTCCTTTAGCGATGTGTTTGAAAACATGGAGTTTTTTCAGTGCTTTACAGATAACCTGTTATTTGAATGTCTAACTGTCCTTTATGCTTGGCAAATGGTACATTGTATTAGAAGGAAACTTTGGATAGTCAAAATGTTCTCTCTAATATTTATTTCAAGGTTGAAAGTAAATAAATGAATACATAACATGGAAAATAGGTCTTGCTTGCCTTTTTTACTGGCTTAATCTTGTTTAAATGTGCAGAGGGAGTTTCTATAAACTTTATACTCTTCTGCAAATAACTTTTGAGAAAGTTGTTAAATGAGCATCCTTATCCATTGTTATAAAGGCCATTTTTCAAATTAAGGATTGTTAACATGAGTTCAAGAGAGCTGTAGAGAAACTGACTTGTGGAACGATCTTTCCAACTTATGTTGGAAAATATTATTTCTTAAAACCATTTCACATTAAAAATTCACTGGACCTTTCAGTCATGGTAGGCTGGTTTTGTCCTACGGAAGTGCTGACAACCTATGATGATGTCCTGTTTTGATTCTGAAGTTTTAAATGAGTTGTTTGATCTCTGATATTAGAAAAAGCCAAAATATCAGTTTAAGAAACAGGACACGTAGTGTCATATTACATCAAAATTTAAAAAAGGAGGAGAAGGGAGGCAGAGAATCTGCAGAATTTACCTCAATATGCTCAGGCACATACCTAATTTGTAGTTTTATTTCCAGAAATACTTGGTCTGACTTTCCCATGAATCAGCACCTAGATGTTGGTTTCTTTTCTCGCATAATTTTAACTTTTGTAGTTAGAATCATAGACTGGTTTGGGTTGGAAGGGACCTAAAAGCTCATCCAGTTCAAACCCCCTGCCTTGGCAGGAACACTTTCTACTTACACCAGCTTGCTAAAAGCTCTGCCCAAGCTGTCCTTGAACACTGGCAGGGATGGGACAGCCACAGCTTCTCTGGGCAACCTGTGCCAGCACCTCAGCACCCTCCTAAGAACTTCTTCCTTGTATGTAATCTACATCTACACTCTTTCTGTTTATAGATGTTCTGCCTTGTCTAATGAACAGAAAAATGAGAAATGGAACATTGGTGATTGCTACTAGGGTTCAAAATATTACAGAATTTCACTTCAGAGTTCACTGAGCCAGCATGACAGAAGCAAATACCTGCATTGTTTTTGTAAAGCCCGTAACCTGTTTTACCGGTATGATGCTGATGTGACATACCATGACTCCTTGCTGTCTTAGGTTTGTGAATATAGCACTCTAGCTCCTCAGGCTGTGCAATGTTTCATGAACATCAGGCACTGTTAAAATAACTCTTAGTCACTGTGGATTTCACATGAAAGCTTCTGGAAAGGTTTTATTGTTGAAACTGGAATAAGAATGTAACTTTGAATGCAAGAAAAAATAACAGTTTAGAAAAATCAGGAAGAAACAAATAGCTCTGAGCTTTTTTTAAAAAACAACTACCCAGAAGAGAATTTTCAATTAAAGTGAGAATGCTTTTGTGTGCATCTCCTTTTGAAGCTGAATATACTTCAGGTCATTGAAGATTTCCAGTGCTTTGAAGCACCTGATCATGCTGATTACTCCTGTATATGTTGGCTAAGCAAACCTGTCCAATGTAGCACTTTGACAAGTGACAGTGCTAGGTTGCAATCAAGACTATAGTGAGTGATTTTCATTTTTTTTTTCTTATTCCTTTCTCACTGGGCTTACCCGTCATTGCATGTTCATTAAGAAATAATTGTCATTGATCAACAGGCTTGTGTATGGGTAATGGTATAAGAAACAGGGCTATTAAACCTTCACTGGGTAGAACAAGTGCATGCCACAACCAATAAGTTAGATTAATGAGAAGAATTAAACTCAGGATAGTTACCTTATGGACCACTTCCTTTCTCTTAATTTTATTTGTGATTACAGACAAGTCTATGATATCTTGGACCTTCAGAAATAAAAGTATAGCAATATAAAGTTTTGAGCATAGATTATTTCTCTGTCTCTTTTGCTTGTGGTCCCAGGCCTCCTGCAATCAATCTTTTAATAAAAAATGAAATACCTTTTGTTGATTTTTTTTTTACAGACTGAAAGGTCAGGACAACACTTAATGAGAACAAAAGGTAGAGCAAAAACAACAGGAAAAATTAATTGGGGAAATGAGAGAGGGTTAATTAATGTACTGATAGCAGTAATTTTATAGTTCCAGAAATTATTGTCCTGTTGTAAAGCTTTAAAAATACAGCTTTAATTATTATGCTAGGTAAGAAGACTACCTTAGGGTAGATTCTGCCAGTGATTTTCCATTGATTGCTACAGAAATCTAATACTGCAGTATTTTTTCTGTCACTGCTGCCAGGACTGGCTTAGAATATCTACTGTAACTGCTTAGAATTCAGAAGCAGTATGAACTCTGAAACAAAAGTCTGCATCTCAATCCAAAACCAGTATTGGTGAAAAGCTGGATAATTATTTGCAGGTCATAAGGATGGAAAGTTAAAGAAGTTGTTTGACTTTTTGAAGATATTCCTATGGCTAATTTTAATCACTAAAAATAGAAAAAAAAAAAGGACAAACCTCTTCATGTTGATTGTACCCCACCTAGAAAAGGAGTTTAGCCCAACCGGCTCTCATCTGAATTTGTCTGGACATGAGACGAATATACGAAAAGAGCAATATTACTTCCAGAAACACTGCGTGATATGCTTCCTGTCTCATGAAACATTATTCTTGGTCTGCTGTGAGTGACAAAAATTTGGTATATGGAAGGAATAGTAAAAACAATACCCACACCCCCTTTCCTTCAGATACCCAGCTATTTTAGGGCAAATAGGTCATAATATAATATCATTAATAATGACATAGGAACTGCATCATCACATTACAGATAGAAGAAACAGAAAAGTATCTAAATCAGAGAGGTTTACACTGTAGAAGAAAATCAAAGTGTGATTTCTAGTGGAGCAGCTGAATAAAGAATAAGACAAGACCAA